CCCCAACTTGGAGTGAGAGAGAAACACACACACACACACACACACACACACACACACACACACACACACACATATATTTTTTGTGAGAACATTTACCAAAGCTGAGCCAAAATCTGTTGCAAGTTATAATATAGGGAAATAATTAAATTAGCTTGGTTTTGGTCAGTAGTCCTCAAATGGCATTGGTATTTTTAGTTTTTATTTCAGTATTTTTTTTTAGTTTTTGTTTTTTAGTTGAACAAGTTATTCAAAGAAAACTGTAATATTGCATTTACTATAATAAGTTCAACGCATTGTTACTATTTTGTTCCGGAGCCGTGGGGGGCTGGAAGGGGACAATTTTCTTTCTCCAGAGGAGAAAAAATTGAGAACTAGACTTTAGATTTTGCCACTAGATGCTTTCCAAGCCTGTGTGCCTCTCTGAGGACATCAACATGCTGCTACCTCCATTTTCCATGACTTGCAAATAAACCTACATTCTTCATTTCCATGTTTAGCTTTAAAATTGAAATTAAAATAGTTAAATACAACATCATGAATGATCATTTCAATTAGTGTACATTCAGCACAAACTGAACATGCAAATGATTCAGTGGTGTTTAGGTAAACATATATTCAGTCATTAAAGTATTTTGTTGCAGCTTTCTGCAGGCTGAGTCCCAGCTCAGATGTTAAACAATTTAATTATATTACAGCAAAAAAGTTGCATCTGAAATATGACAGTTTAATCTGGGCTTCTTCTTATTAGTTTTTTCCCCTCAAAAATATACTTTGCAAAACAAGCTGCACTGAAAGCTGTACGTGATCATTTGCTTACATTGAGTTTTTATAATGAATAATTTGCAAGTACAAGTTCCTTACAAACATAAATGCATCTGAATAGTGATGCTCTGTTGAAATTCACTTTTTTTACTACGTGCTGTAATATAGGTAAGAAACACTCAAAATTTAGTTCCAATTTGTCTTGTTTACAATAATTAATCTTGATTATTATTCCATGTTCTTTATTTAACCAGATTTAAAACCTCATTGAGATCAAGACCTAATTTCCAAGGGGCACCTTGGCACAAACAAACAGTACACATCATAAAAAGTTACATAAGTCTCAACCAAAATATTCAATGAATTAGATGCTCACAAAAGGCAGAAACTGTAATAATAAAATTAACATTATTTAAAAAATTGACACTGATTGATGTAATCATGTGGTTAATGCTAAGATATGCTACAAATAATTTCATTTTTTTTCTTTTGAAATCTATCAGATGTTTGAAATCCAACAACAACAACCACCCCACAGCACTGTAGCGCCGTACATGTGGCATTTTGCAGCTGACACCTTACATTGTAACTTCTACTTGTTGCATTTTTGTTGTCTGACTTTTGAACTTGTGTGTTGTTTTAATGTTTGCAGTCACAACTGTGTAGCACTTTGCTCAAAACAAATTTCCCTCAGGGGACAATAAATTCTATTCTATTCTATTCTATTCTATTCTATTCTATTCTATTCTATTCTATTCTATTCTATTCTATTCTATTCTATTCTATTCTATTCTATTCTATTCTATTCTATTCTATTCTATTCTATTGACTGTTCCCTCTGCTGGGCTCTCCAGTGTCTCAGAATTAGTAGACCACCGCTCTGACCACTGATGTGGCCCTCAGTTAATCTTTATGTTTTTTTTGTATAAATTGCAATATTATCAAACAAGTAAACCATGTCTTTTTACAGAACATCTGACTCAATGATAAAGACAAGTCAAAAACTGGTTCCTTAGCTAGGTCTGTTAGCTACTTTAGCAAATATTAGCTTGTGTTTAGTTCARTTAGCTCAGGTTCTCAGGTGATGCTGGGTTTCATTCCTATCCAGAAAGGTGGGACTCAAACCTGGACATGACGTCACAGTCAACTTTAGTGCTGAATTAAATTTACATTATTGGCCTTCTAAAGCCTTTTCATATTTCATTTGAACACTACTTAAAATAATCAGTTATGGTGTGCTTTTTCTTACATATTTTACACCAAATGACTTGACATCATGAGTGTGAATGGGTGAATGATTGAAGTGAGTGCTTTGGAGTCTGAAGGGACTTGATTAGGCGCCATATAAATTCAAGTCATTTACCATGTTGCTTTTTTATGTTTCTTTTTAGCTCTCATATGAAAATCCCAGGGTAGCACAGTGGAGCAGTGGTTTGAGCTGTTGCCTCATAGCAAGAAGATTGTAGTATGAAGTTATTTYCCTTGCGCACGTGGGTTTTCTCTCACTGACTGAAAACATGCACATCAGATCACCTGGTAACTCTAAACTGGCAGTACATGTAAGTGAAGGAGTGAATGGTTATTGTCTCTATCTGGCCCTGAGATGGACTGACCTGTCCCGGGTGCACCCTGCCTCTCACACAGTGACTGCTGACAGCTCTGGTAGTGCCCTGAGTGGAAAAGTGGGTAAACAAAATGAACAGATGCATGGAAATATCATGGAGAACAACCTTTTTATTCACAAATAACACTAGCAGAGACTTGTGATGCAAGATTTATTAATGCAGATCAATTTTAGTTAACACTGAGTGTAAAGCTTTGTTAGTTTCAGAAACTGTGCAGATGTTCACAGCTCCAAAATATCAATCACCGTTATCAGACAATAAATAAATAAATAAATAAACATTATAAAAATTCAGCCACTTTTATCAACAAAGTGTTGCAAAAACGTTAAACGAAACCTCTTAATTTGTACCGACAAATGAGCGTTAGATGGACGTGCGTGTGTACGCGAGCAGGCCACTGGAGTGTCTCGCTGCTAGTTTAGAGCTGCTCGAGCAGAGAAAAGGATGAAAACGTCTGCAATTTGAAACCTTGTTAGGAATTTATGAAGTGCTAAAATGCTTTCTCCCCAGGGAGCCGAGCCAGCTGCCGGTGCCACTGTGAGCCGTTTAGTGCAGAGCCTCGTCACCAGGCTGAGATGGCAAGCGTGATGCACACAGATAACTGTGCCTGTTTTTTATTTGCCTGAAATACAAACAAACTCTTTCATATCTGCTGGCCTGGTGTTTTCCAAACAGCTGTAGATTTCTATTGAGTTAATTGGCCCAACATTGACTTTTATTACCCTTCTTTCCCCTGGAGAATGCTCCCACACAACATGCATTTAAAGCCACTCGCTTTACGGTAACACGGGCTTAAATTGAAACTTGAATGTGATCAAGCTGTTAATCCATAATTCATAGTAGTTTATGTTAATTTAATGTTCCCCAGATCCCAGGAATAGAAACACAATGATGAATCCAAGATGAGCGATGACGACCCATAAATAGAGAGATTTACTGCAAATGAGTTTTCTCATTTTTACCAAACTGACTAAAATCCAAACAGATTTAATGTAAAAATATAAAAACTAGAAGCACTTGGAGAGTGCAAACCTCTGCCAAGTCCAATTTCCCCCATCCTGTAATAGAGTAAGTGCACAAAAGCAGAGATGGAAACACATTTTCCGAATAAGTTGTGACGTAGCGAACATTTAAGCAGGCAGTTTGCAAGGAATTTCTTCCTGGTGGAGTCCAATGTGGAATGAAAAGAAAGTCAGATTCATCACCCGACGTTATTCATCGTCAAACTGGTGTCGGATTAAGCTCCTAAGTTTTCATCAGTCACATTTCACCACGTAAAATGTCTGTTTTATCCCCTTGTATGTTTGTAATGGTTTGACTCTCTTTATAAAGTGCTTCCTGRTACCGTCGCTCTGGAAGCGAGTGGGTCAGCACGACCGAAAACATTACCTCGCCCCTGGTCTCATTTAAATAATAAAAATGAACRAACAAACAAACAAACAACTTCCGAGTCTGAAGTGCACTGCACGTCAGTCCTTTCCTCGTTCTTCATCGATCTGTTTACAAGCCTACCGACAATGTGGTGTGTTTGAGGAAATGGGAAAAATAGGTTTCATGGTGCAGTCACACACTTCCTGGTCACAAGACATTCTGTAAATGCGCACCAAATGCATAAAAATGTGCACATTATGGCAAGACTTATTCATCCTTACATCTGGTTTTAACATGACTTTTATAAAGTTTGAAGTCCGTGCTGTGTAATCCAGTTCAAATGAACACTGAAAGCTCTCAATGTTTTTTTACAGAAGCCCCGTGAAAGCATCACAGCTTTGCTGATCTCAGAAGATTAATAGAAAAAAATTCCTGTATCCGCATTGTGATCCAAAACATCACCAAAATTTAATGGTGTGTTACTTGGCCCAGTAGCCACATGTGTTGTAAATGTTATGACAATCTGTCCACAAGTTTTTGAGTAATGTTGTCCACAGACAGAATGACAGAACAACAGACAGACATACGCGGCCGAAAACATTACCTCGCAGTTAGCGGAGGTAACAACTTACAGTATACTGCAAAGTGTGTTCTGATGTCTGTATCGTCAGTGAAAACAAAATTAAAATGAAAAACATCTGTACAAAAAGAATAATACAAYAAACAACTGAAGTTAATGACAAAAACATCTTGTGTTTTCTTCTATTCCAGTTTTCAGTGAAGATCTGCATTCCAGCCTATACTTTGTCAATGCATCTCTGCAAGAGGTAGTATTTGCCAGCACCACAGGGACTTCTGTTCCCTGTCCTGCTGGGGGTGTGCCGCCGGCCTCGCTGCGCTGGTACCTGGCCACCGGCGAGGAGATCTACGATGTCCCAGGCATCCGTCACGTCCACCCTAATGGAACTCTCCAAATCTTCAACTTCCTGCCATCCAGCTTCAGCAAGCTGATCCATGACAACACGTACTACTGCACTGCCGAGAACCCGTCTGGCAAGATCAGGAGTCAGGATGTCCACATCAAAGCTGGTGAGTTTAGAAGTCAAAGAAGGAAGCATGAGCTGCACTACGACTGAGACTAAAGTAAGACAAAAGGAAGAAGAATTACATTACTAGTAAAATCATCTGCTGTGGGAAATCTGTGGAGCAAGTCTGCAATAAAAACACACACACACACACACACACACACACACACACACACAAAACAGGAAACGAGGCATGGAGCATGTGCATAAAGCTTGCCTGCTGGATGCAAAATGTAAACACAAGAAGAAGACACCCACGGGTCATAAAGTAGATTGGAGATAGAGATTTTCAAAAGGCTGCAGTTTGGCTGCACAAAACAAAACAAAAAAACACAATGGTGATCTCAGATTTGTTTTTACTCTGAAACCCAATCAAAACAATTAAAATTCATTCCAGGATCCTCATAACACCATTTCAAATCCTCAATCCTGTGGCTGTATTTCTCTGTGGTTAATTGTCTGAATGACACCCAAATGATATTTTGTTGTTGTCCAACAGTTTCACGGGAACCCTACACCGTCAGAGTGGCAGACCAGAAGGCTATGAGAGGCAGCGTAGCCGTCTTCAAGTGCATTATTCCAGCTTCTGTGGAGGCCTACGTCACCGTCGTATCATGGGAGAAGGACACTGTTTCACTCAGCTCAGGTACGWCGAGTTGTTTCTCGCAGGTACAGAATGTTTAACKCAGCCGATCAACAGGAAAACAAGAMGGTCAAAGACYAGATTAAAATCACACACGAGCTATTTCAGYTGCACGGCAAAATGGYGAACAGTTGCCTTTCCCAGCCTCTATCCATGTCTTTTTGGTCTCCAGTTTGGGCAGTGTGTATCCTGTGAGTCATCCTCTTACCTGTTTTCTGTTGTTGTATGCCATTACTGGGGCTGTGCARCCAGTGCAGCTCGGTCTCCTCACAAGCCAGAGGACGTTGATACCTGTCAGATTGAATCACCGGGTTTCTCTCTCCTTTACGTGCTCCTCCTCAGCCAGCTCCATTTTGAGTCCAGCAAGGGGTAAAGTGGCACAGTTTGCATAGCGTTACGTAGCATTGACCCAGTTCGTTGTTTGAATCYGGCGGCGCAGCGTGATAGCACAAGACGGCGGCTGAATTTTTTTATTTATTTATTTATTTTTGCTCAAGTTAAATGGGATGCTTTTCTGTTTGATTGCTCTGGTCGCTGCCCGCTGGCTGATTCCGCTGCGTATGGTTAGAGCCTTCAGGGATCTGTAAGTGAGCTCTTGATGTCACTGGACCGGGGGGGGCAGAATCTGGGACAGTGTTTTGGTGGCATTTTAAATGCATCTGCTCAAGCATAAAGATKTGTCTCCTGATCCATGCCGCACACTTATTTACTCCAGGTTGCTGGAGGGGCTCGCCGCAAGCAGCAGGTTGACAACGTCGCCTGATGGCACGGAGATTGAGCAAATATGCAGCATGCAGATGTGATTATGTTCTGCAAATGAAATGAATCATGTAGGCGAAATTTGCACATTTATATCAGCTGTGGCTGGACAAAATAAACAAAACTAAAATAAAATAAAATAAAAAAGACCCCAGCTATCAATCATGAACTTTAACATGGTTTAAAGCTGATATAAATTTGGCAACACAGTAGGATCTAATGGTGTCTTTGTACCAAACAGGGCTCAGAACAAGCAGTAAGACAATCACCACTCTCATCTACAAGGGTGTTTACATGTTCTCTCCTTTTTTTTTTATTGTATTTAGCTAATTACCTCAACAGAAAACAAACAGAGGGGGATACTATCTACAACACACCAGTGAGTGATAAAAAGAAGAGTTTTGAGAATAAAATCATATCATTAAAAAATAAACAATAAGTTGGAAATAAAGTTGACATACTGTTTTAACAGTAAGGATGTAATGACAAGAAGAAAGTATTTATTTATAGATTGAAGGAGAATCAAGAATTATTCAAGCATTGGCAGAAAAACCTATAATACTCGTGTTTCTAAATGAAACAGTGACTTTTTACTATATGGGTTTTATTAATGTGGACCTATTTAGCACAAAAACATAATAAAGGGTGAGTCAAAAGTCACAGGACAACCTTTTAGTCAGAAACATCTTTTAGGCTGTGCCCGGAACATGGCTGCCATCTTGAAAGCCACCACATTGCATCGAAGTAGAACTTCTTCCAATGGGAAGGTGGTCATGTAGCACGTCAGAGAAGACCAGAATTGTCTCAGAAATAGATTGGCACAATCAGATTTGCATTATCTCATGGGTTTCAAAAGTTATCAACACAGAAGTTTGAACATTGCTTCTCGTTTGATGTGTTCAGTGTGCTGTCCGTGGTCCTGAACACAGAGTTCTCTGTGTTTTAGTATTTAAAGAGCATCTAGATCTTGGGGGGAAAAAAGTAATATCCTAGTGCTTTGGGTTTCACATGAGTTTCACCAGAAAATGATAATAATATTGATCAACAGAAGAAGCCCTGCTGTTTGGAAGTAGCGACACCCACAGTTCGTCAGACTCAACTTTTATTTTGAAAATCCAAGTGTTTATCCATAGATGAAGCTGAGAAGCTGTGAGTGCTGAAATCTTTTTTTAGTATTTTATTTTTTACAATTAGTTTCTTGTTTAGCTTTTTATTTTTAATCAAGTCTAGTCCATACCATTACAAAAAAGCAAGGAAAAACAAACAAACACTAATGTCTTTACTAGATTTTTAAATTTAAGAGTTTATCAAACTTTGTCATGCAATCTGTGAGACRCTGTTTGTATTTGAAATGGGATGAATTTGACATGATATAACTTTTCATTTTTGTGTAAAAATAGAGCAGGGGCAGACTGGCATACAGGGCTACTGGGAAAATCCCCGGTGGACCGGTGGTTTAGAGGGCCGGTGGTTCACTGCAGTCTGTGAACCCACCCACGAGCTGAACCACCGGCCCAGACGCAGGCCAGAGGGCTGGTGGTTCAGTTCGTGAACCGGCCCACGAGCTAAAACAAACAGTGGCGCTTATTAAAAATTAAACATTCACAAAATAAGAAATGCCTTGTCCCTATTAGTGGTGCATAAATTAAATCTCTGTTTGTCTCTGGCTTCCAGCAGAGAGATGCAGCGGCTCCAACAGGGCCGAGCGGCTTCCATCAGAAAACTTCTCCCATTAAGCTCAGCCTGACAACAAATCAGCTCTGCGCTTACCAATAACACAGAAGACAAATTTGAAAAGTCTTGTCCCAGCTAGCTCTAACAGAGATGCGCGGAGCTCCAGCTCATCATTTCTCTGTGGAACATCACCTGTCAGTCACCAGGGGCGCAACATGTGGGGGTGGCTACGGAGGGCTGTGCCCCACCAGTTTTATCCTCTTGAGTCCCAAGCTTTGTGCTTATTTGTAAATCTTTCCCAGCTGTATAAGATTAGTAGAACCTTATAAATATAAAAACTTTTTAAAACTAAGAATTAAAAATATAGATATATATTTTATTTAAAATAAAAAATAAACTTAAAATAGTTCATCTGAATAAAGACAACTAGTATAAAATAAATGTCCTCAACATCAGGATAAAGCTTTTCATGGGGTTAGAGGTATGAAATAAATAAAAAAATTAAGTATTGATATACCATACATACATTTTGTGTATGTTTATATTTATATATAGTTATCTGGATGACAGAGATTCTTGATCAGCATCATAAATATAACATTTWGTAGCTCGGTGGCTCAGTTGGTAGAGGTGTTGTTTCTYAGTTGCCCAGCSTGGAACCTTTYTGGGTGATGTTTACATGTTCTCCCTCTGCATGAATGGGTTTGTTCCCAGTATTCAAGTTTCCTCTCACAGAGCAAAAACCAGCACCTTAGCTTCACAGAAACACACTGTGCATCTCAACTAAATGCTTTGTAAATGTAATTATTTTGAACAAAATCATGCTCAAGTCTGAGTATTTTCAACAGCCTTTGAAGGTGGGCCAGTCTGTCAGGAAGTCCCGGGCCGCTTTTYCTCCCCAGTCCACCCCTCCCTGGTTAAGAGGATGTTTGAGCAACTAAAGGTGGTTTGTTTGTCTGAYGCTGCTTTTGGAATGAATATTGTGTTTAGACTTAGTGGAACACCTTCCCAACCTCCAAAAACAAAACAAAAGCAAACAAAGATAAAAAAATAAAAATAAAAAAAATAGAATTTTGGTATTTGTTTCCTTTTTCTGGTGGACCAACTTTTATCCAGCTGTGACTCAAACCAGTTAAGTTTCTGAGTCACATCCTTATTATAAAACATTCCCTATGTTTGCAGTCACTTTTCTCCAATTAAACCAAAAGTTTTAGTTTTTTTCTTTCATTTGCACTGAAATTCCAGTGACTCCTACTGTATACAGTATATATATGTATTTTTTGTTCCTGCGAGTTACTTTGTGAGCGATAAAAGGAACAACAATATTAGATTGTCTGAGTTTACTCCAATAAGCACTGCAGCAGGCGAGTGCTGTCAAAAGCATGAGCACACGGTCAAAATCACTGCTGCTCGCTGATAAATATTTGATGGTAGATTCTGATGCATGAGCGCATTCGCCTCACATTGTTATGGAGAGGGTATATTTACTCAAGGAGTGTGTGTGTGTGTGTGTGCGTGTGCATGTGCACACTGCTCATGTTTGTGCATGAGCAGAGAGAAGGGAGCCACCACCAGGACACCAAACAGAGCTTGACAACAGCAACTGGGTGCATTTTGACCCATCCTAGTTGTCTGACTTTTGTTGCTGCCTTTTTTTCGTTCTCTTTTCATAAAAGAAGATTCAGTCTCAGTGGACACAAAATAAATCAATCCCGCTGATGCACTGAATTATTAATCTTGTATTTTTTTTTTTTGTTTGTTTTATTGGAAACGTGACATCAAGTGCAGTTCTTTACTTCGGCATTGTTCTTCAGGATCAGAGCATAGAAACAAATCTTAAAAGCGAAACTCAAATAAACAAAAAATAAAACAATTTAGATCAATTTATTATCAAAACAGCTTACCATTTTGTCATTACTGTTCTGATTTGATGTGAAAAGGTGTTTTCTGAAGATAGGGAGCTCACAAACTAAAATTGAGGAAAAAAATCAAAGCTGCTGAAATCTTTGACTATCCACTTATTTGCATTAGAAGCAAAAATAGATGCATAATTACAGACTAGGGCCTGTCTTAATTAATCAACTGTGATTGAAAAGTTAATTACAATATGAATTACCTTTCAGAATGAGGACTGCTTAGTAGTCATTTGAAGCGGCCTGTTTCAATGTAAATGAGCACAATGCGGGCTCGCCGGGTCCTAACGTTGCCACTAACATACCATTAACCCGTCATGAATTTTAAAATGCATCTCTCAGCGCGAGCTTTCAAATGCCCGGCTCCGATCGCCTCCTCGCCGCTTTTAATAAACAATTGACAGAGCTAATAGAGAGATGAAAGGGAGGCCACAAAAAAAAGAAAGTACAGCGGATAAGAGGAGGAGTTGAGTCATTTCCTACTGTGCTCCTGCCAGTGTTTTTATACGTCAGATCTTGGTTTGAATGCACGTGCACGTCTGTGTACACGTGCATGTTTGTGTCGCTGCGGCTGCTTTTGTTTGTGCGCTCCCGTGTGTTTGCATGTCAAGTGGGCATGCTTCTGAAAAGGGATGGAGTTGAGGTAGGGTGTTTTTT